AAGGTCCCGAGAGCAAAGTACAGAAAAAAAACACAAAATAACAACTTAAAATATAGTGACACAGAAATTTACAATAAACATTTTCAACTTTCATCACAGTCAAGGACCAAAATACTTTTTCATAAGTCTCTCAAATACTCGGCAAACAGAAAACAAACATATCACATTACACAATAGAATCAATAAACTAATAAGACAAGGATAGCCATGATAATAACAAAGAGAGGAAAACTCGATCACCTCTTATCTTTCAAGACGGAAATTATGCTTGCTGCCTCTGCTGGTGAAACATTAGAGAGAGTGCTCGGCCGATCATTTGGTCTTGATGAGCCAAAACTGCCGGGCATTGCTGAGCTGGCGGTACTCCCAACAGAAGGAGGATACCATGAGTCGGTATGCACTTCCTGTGGCCGTGGCTGAGTTAGCTGATCCTGAGAGCCCCTGTAAAGCAAAAACCAAACAGAACAAGTAATTTGGGTTATAGTGAGAAAAAAATCAATTAAGATGGAAGGAAAATCATGTAAGAAAATGTAGATGTCGTTATACATCCTTAAGAGCAGTTTTTAGTAACTCCATAGTGCATGACTTTCTTTTCAATTTGCAAATAAACTAAAGAGAAGAAAACAAAAACCCAAAGATTAAATAAACATGGGATATCTGGCATTCAGAAAGAATGCACAAAGGGAAGATAGAACTATTCAGCAACATGTAAGAAAACCGATAGATATCGAGAAAATGTATATGTAAAAAGACAGGAGCACGATTTCAGCAAAGAAAGTAGCCACATAAAACACGTAAGTTACTCAAAGTTGGATATCGTACTCACACCCAGTTACAAAATGGCCTGATTGATCAACCAGAAAACTGAAACTATTTCAACCCAGCTCTTCAATATTCAGATACATAAAAAAACAAAAAAAAAACAAAAAACAAAAAAAAACCAGGATGAACTAAACACCTCTCTTGATGTTTCTGCTATGAGAATTCAAAACAGCATCATCCCAAAAATCAGATCATCCTCATAGCAGCACCCCAATAAAAATCCAGAAACATTGACCATAAAACAGTACTGGACTTCGCCCATAGGCGATAAAAAAATCATTCCTTTAACCAAAAGGGAAGATGAGAAAAGAAGTAATTACCAGAAATTTTTGAACATGGCTCCAGAGAGGTCTCAGCCGTCGATCGTCCGTCGGGAAAAACCGATCGAGAACCGAAAAATCGGTTATCCCAACCCTAAATTGAATTAGTTCGACAGAAGAAATCCACCAGAGTTAAAGCTAAAAAATGGTTAAATATTATTATGGACACCAAACTTCAAACTTGAGCGTGTTGATGTATTCTGTGCTTGGGACTTTCGTTCGCTTCTGCTGATGCTTTCCCTCACGAATGGCAGTTCTTGTCCCAATAGACGCGGAATTTCAATTTCAGCTCCGTAATTTGCAAGATTTCAGTTCTGGCCTAAAATATGACTAATTTTAAATTTGGTCTAATTTATTTTAGGGATAAGTCAAATTTTGATACTTCTTCTGCAAATAAATGATAAGTAGTGATGAGGAACCAACTGCCAATGAGACAGTTCTATGGGGATGGTCCCACATAGAGTTCTTCCATTGGCTATTGGCTCTGTAACGGAGTCAACAGTTGGCTCAGTTAGCATTACTGTATAAATGATATTTATTAAGTATGCATCATGTACCTGACAAACAGAGACGGCTTTTGGGGGGAGCAGGGTGAGCAACTGCACAGGGTCCCCAATTAATTGGGGCCCCATATATAAATATTAAAATATTATATATATAATAATATAAATAAAAAATATAATAATATATAGAAAGAGTCTTTTGTGTTTTGTCTATCCGGAGGTTCTTTCCTACTTGAGAAGTGGAAGTTGTTATTAATAAAATATTAAAAATATATTATTCAATATTGTAATTAGGGGGGCCTAATTTTATTTTTCGCTCTTGGCCCAAAAAATGTTGGAGACGGCCCTGCTGACAAACAATAATTGATAATTAATTTATTGTAATGATTGAAAGAAAAAGTTTCATATCTTGGATGTAGACATGGCCAGTCAACGGGTCCGGCCCGGACCGGCCCGCAAAATCTTGGCCTGAGACCGAACCGCATATTGCTTAGGGTCGGGTCATCGAACCGGCCCGGTCCCGTTGGTTCTCCGCCCCGCGGGTCAATTAAAAAAAATAAAAAAAATCGACTGTGGCCCGGCCCCCAATCCGCGACCCGGACCGGCCCGGGCCGGACCGCCGGGACAACAAAAAAAAAGGCTAATCGGGACCGAATCGGTTCAAGGCCGGTTTGGGACGGTTTTGGTCCGGGTCGACAGGCCGGGTCGGCCGGTGGCCATGTCTATCTGGATGCATGTTCAGTATGTAACAAGTACTTCTATGATACTTGCTCACTATAATACTTGGAACCTATCGAAAGTTAAAATAATATATAATTTATTCGTACTTTATTAATAGATATTTTGCTATTTGTTCAGTATGTAACAGATGCTCATTAACAATGTATCTGATACTAATAGATATTTTGCTATTTGTTCAGCAGTTTTGCTATGAAGCCAACAGTTGGCTCCATAGTGGAGTCAACATTCTATATACAACAAGTAAATCATACCATATTCTTTGATTACTTAAATAATACTACAATATGGTATGGTTTACTTGTTGTATATAGAAGGTTGGCTCCATACGGAACCAACTGTTGGCTTCATAGCAAAATTGATTTGTTCATATGGAGTCAACTGTTGGCTTCATAGCAAAATTGATTTGTTCAGTATGTAACAAATGCTCATTAACAATGTATCTGATACTAATGTTGGATTTAGTTTATTTACTATAGTTAAAAAAAACCAATTAATTTCTAGATGAATTCATAAACAATTAGTTTTTGGTGTCGTGTGGTCAACTCATTTGTGATTTGTCTGTGATCAATTTTTTTATGGATTCAACTAATTAGCGGTTAGATTCAGTGTTTCTTAATGTTTTTTAGATTATAATTTATGAGTTCATTTATATAATTATCGTTTTAAACAAACCTTGAATAAATAAAGTCTGAGAAAATTTATCAGCAATTAATTAAAAAATTTAATCGAGTTAGTTACTATTAGACATGACCAAGGGTCACCCGACCCGGCGACCCGGCACGGACCCGGCCCGGACTCGGCCCGGTCAAACCAGTTGACCAAGGGTCCGGGACCGGCCCGGTCAAACCCGTTGACCAAGGGTCCGGGACCGGCCCGGATTTCAGACGGGCCGTGTAAGGGTCATCCATTTGATGACCCAGCCCGGAGGGTCAGGGTCGGGCCGGGTCGATGACCCTTCTTTTCATTTTTTTTTTTCATTTTTTTTTTAATTTTTTCTACTATTTTTTAGAAAAAGCACGGAACCGGCCCGGACTCGGCACGGCCCGGACACGAAACCCGGCACGAGTATAGGTCCGTGCCGGTTCAGTGTCATTGTTTTTTAGCCCGGCGACCCGGCCCGGATTTTGGCCATGTCTAGTTACTATCGGACAAAAATAGATAACAATCTTTTGTTTAGGGATGGTATTGTTGAGCTCATGTACTTTTAATAAACAAGCTCGTTTGACTGTTGTTTAAGCTCCTGGACTAGTATAATCTATACTTATATGAAAAAACATCCTATTTACTAGAAATAGTAGGCAGAAAAGTCAAAGGTAATTAATGCTTGCTGGAAATAGAATGTCATTAATTACAGATTTGTTTTGGTATTTATAGACTTGACATTAAAGATTTGTTATGAGATAAAAATCAGAACGATTTTTTTACCTTTGCTGGAAAAGTCAAAGGTAAGTATAGATTTGTTTATATTATCAAATCATAAAAAGATATTAAATCCATATTATAAAAAATAATAATTCATATAATTTTATAACAATTCTACTACACTATTTAACAATATTCCTTTTTATTATATAATAAAATAATAACTAAAATATTATATAGTGAACAACAATAAACAAAATTGTTACTTTCTCTTATATCAAGGGATAAATTTATATGCTCAAATTAAATTTTTATTGTATATATAAATGTCTTAATGAGATAATATATTAATTATTTTACAAGCTAGCATTAACATGCTCATACTTAATGTTCGGGCTAAAATAACAACGGCTAAAAGATGTGGATAAAAACTTATAATGACCCTATTGTTTTTTAGACTTAACGTTGATTAAAAGAGGTAGAAAATAGATAACCATATTATTTTTTAGACTTAAACGGACAAGACTGTGAAAATAACTCATTTAATATATATGTCTCGTGTACGTACTAGTAAATCAAAAATAGTAAACAAGTTGTTTGTGAATACCATGAAAAATGTTACATGTACATAATAAATGTACATAAAAGTGTACATAACACTCACGTAGAGTGTGGTCCACTTTGATTATTTATTTTTGGTAGATTTCAATCAATGTGAGTGTTATGTACAATATTATGTAATTAATCTTCTAATTTTTAAGTAAACGAAAAGAGCGAATCACAAGCTTTCTCGAGTTGAATATCAGCTAGGTTCAGAAATGAATCTAATTAGGCTATAATATACCCATCAGAACGAAAATCAGAAATTATAGTTTGTAGCATCTGAAGTGAAATTTCTCCATGATAACCCGAAAGTACTTTAGATAAAGTAAAGATTAAAGATAATGAAGAACAAATATATAATGTAGTTTCTGTTATTCATCTCCTCAACTGACATGGTTTCGAGCATATATATGAAAAAAAAGAAAAAACAAACTAAATCTTAATCTCAGTAAGGAAGAATAGGGCCACTGCCGGCTTTCCCCACGCGCAGCCGCGAAAACGACCGGCGCAGTCGCGATGAAACTCGATCCAGATGCCTCAGATTAGACAGAGTACTCGAACAATCGGCACTCCGGCGGCCGATCCCCACCAGCGACGAATCCATCGACCGCGACCGCTTCAGCCTCGTCGCCGCACGCGGCTGCGACGGTTCCGGATCCGCCCCCGCCAGCGACGCTGACCGGTGGCGAATCAAACCAGACGGCCGCGGCCTCCCCGCCAGCGACGCTGACCAGTGGCGAATCAAACCAGACGGCCGCGGCCTCCCCACCTCCGCCGCCGCCGCCGCGTCCAGATCCGAGATCTGCGCCATGACGGACGGATCTGATCCATCCGGCTCGACCACTGGCGACCGGCACAGCGGGCAGCTGGCACGCGCGGCGAACCACCGGTCGATGCACGGCACGTGGAACACGTGCGCACACCCGGGGACCAGCCGGACCCGGTCGTCGTCCTTCAGATCCCCCAGGCATACGGCGCACTCGCCCTCGGCGCCTGCGTTCACGCGCCGCGCAGCAGAGAAGGTGAGGATCGGAATCGATTTCAGGACCCTCTCGTCGACTCCGGCTGCGGCCGGGTTAGGAATTCCGGCAGCGGATTGGCGGCCGCCTCGCCGGAGGCAGTACTTGATGAGGAGCATGTGGTAGAATACGATTGCGGTGGAGGCGGCTGCTATGCCGACAATGGAGATGAGAAGGGGACTGATAAACGCGTTTGTATCGCTGCTCTTTGGGTCCGGCGTCGGAGCTATCGAGTCCATCGGAACATCGTAGTTTCTCCGGCTAACTAATTTTTCCGGTATCGAGCTTGTTTAATTCGCGAGTATAATAATATCTACTGAAAAATTAATTTATTTATTTATTTTTATTTGTGGACAACTGAATAATTAAATTTCAATTAAGTGAAAGTGAAACTCTGTTTTTAGGAAAAGATAGGGATATTATATATATACTGTCGAAATTCTAATATTGGGACACGCGTCGCACATTAGTGAAAAGGCTCCTCCCTATTTCTCGGGAAAAATTTTGAAAAGGGCAAAGTTGTTGAGAGTTTGGTGGCTTAATTATTACTTTTAATTTAATATAAATTGTTTCAAAAGTGGCAATGATATTCAATTTATTGGTGTAGTTTATGTTTCTCTGAATTAATCGATTTGCATCGACGTAGAGTAACTTAACAAATGTGGAAAGCTCGATTTGTGTAATTCGATCCAAATTAACTACACTTCAACTTACACATTTATAAACGTTAAGCATAACCTTAAATCAAAAATTTTAAATTTTATTATCTAAGTATTCTGTGTTACAAGCTCAATTCGATTCATTTAATAAATAAGTTTTGAGTTTTGTAATTTGTTATAAACTCACTCTCAAATTTTTTGGAAAGATTGATTTGTTCTCGCGTACTCGCGTGGTTATTAATTGGTGCATATGTAATTGGTAGTGTTGTAGTTTTCCTATTGGATGAGGGTCATCGTCATACACCCTACTTGTGTGCTGTAATTTGTTATATTTTCAATTAGTTGAGTTGACTCTAGTGTCTACGTGGCTGTGCAAATATAAATCAATAAATAGTAGTTGGTGTAGTTGATGGCTACGTGGCCGGTGCTGGTGCAGGATATTTCAAAATTTCAACCAATTAATTGTAAACTGAAGTTACTTTATCCCTTTCCCTTGCATGCCCACAATTATCGATATTCAAATCAGTTGAAAGTCCAACGTTGGAAGCATGCAGACATGGCTAAAGGTAACGGGCCAACCTAGCCCACGACCAGCTGGGTCCAACTCGTTGCACACGGGTTAGAGGCCCGCCCCTGTGACTAGGTCCTACATGAAAAAATTTGACCCGTCTGTTTCAGGTCTATGGTCAAGTGTCAGAATTTTTAAATTTTGATTTTGAACTCGCCAAATAGGGTCGGAACAGCAACTAGTAGATCAGTAGGAATTCAACCGTTGGATCTTAGGATCCAATGGTCTATGGTGTTTACTAATCTATTGTTTAACTGATAATTGTTCAGTGTATGGCTATTATGTGGAAATTTAGAGATTTATTCGTTAGTAATCCAGAAGGCAATTGTGCCCTTTTAAATGATACATTGCGGAATGGTTAAAATATTATTTTTACGATCTCTATATTATTTTAATTGCAAATTTGTTAGATTCGTCTATACGTGAAATTTATTGCTTAACCAATTCCATACTTATCATGATATTATGCTTAACTCCAACTTCACGTAAATGTTATTCCTGTCAGTGAAGGTCCGCACCCACAACTTTTAGTCGAGCAAGCAAAATCTTTGTTGTATGACTTATTTTGGAAAACAATAATCAAACTCGAAAAAAATTTGGCGCCATTTTCTTCTCCGTTCTCTTACCAAATTTTCTAAACAAATGACAGGGTACGGCGTAGATATTCGAGCTTGGGCTAGTCATTCAATGTCTGAAGATGCATTAGTTCAACGGTGAGAGTGCGAGAAGGACAGAGACTAGATATGATAAACCCAACCACTATTTGACCGAAGAATTCAGATTTTAAAGTGGTAAACCACTTGTCCCGCCACTCCAATTCGTTGTCTTGGATTGGTGGTAAAAATGAAGACCTTCTATCTTTTTCCATATTTAATTTCCACGAATCTTTGGTGTCTCTAGCCTCAATCGTGGCGATTAAGCAAACATTTAGCGAGAATGATACCTTGTTGAGGAAGAGGCACACATGCTGCTGAGCGTTTGGAAAAAGGTCAGTAACAAACGAGACATCAGAACTGAAGAGGGCGATGATAATGAGTTGAAAGATTTTATTACTACTACTAGAATCAGAGAAATTGGGTCTGGCAGCGACAATAACGACGAGGAGTTAAAAAATAAAAATAAAACAAAATGACTTGTACTCCATCTAGCTAACCCACCTGATTGCTCAGTTATTTTTTGACTTGGAAAATCGCAATAATGCAAAATGTACCAAAAAAAAAGCAACACATTCAACGTGCAACACAACAGCCCAATCGTAACCACAGGTTTGATTTCCACAAAAGCTCCGATTATCCCCCACAAATGGCCTCCAAATTTCTCCATCTCCACCCCAAGCCTTCTTCCCACTCCCCAAACCCTATAACCCTTCCCCCTCTCAGAACCCTTCTTCTCCCCACCGCTCCCGCCGGAAAACCTCCTCCCCTTGCCGGATTATGTAGCCGGACCCTCCCTCCGATGGCGAAACTCGACTCCCGTCCAGAAGGTCCCTTGCCGGACCCGTCCCTGACCAACGACGACCTCCGGCCGACCGAGCCTCACGAGAGGACCTTCTCCGGCCTCGAGATGGCCAGCCTCTGGATCGCCCTCGTCGTCGGCGTCCCCTCCTACTACCTCGCCGGCAGCCTCGTCGACCTCGGGATGTCCTGGTGGCAGGGCATCGCCACCGTCGTCGCCGCCAACGCCGTCCTCCTCCTCCCTCTCACCCTCACCGGCCACCCGGGCACCAAGTACGGCATCTCCTTCCCCGTCCTCGCCAGATCCGCCTTCGGCGTTCGCGGCGCCCACATCCCCACCCTCCTCCGCGCCCTCGTCGGCTGCGGCTGGTACGGCATCGCGACCTGGATCGGCGGCGAGGCCATCTTCCTCCTCCTCCCCGAAACCCTCAAACAATCCCAGACCTTCTCCCAACCCCTCCCATGGCTGGGCACCTCCCCTCTCGAATTCCTCTGCTTCATCCTCTTCTGGCTCGCCCAATTAGGAACCGTCTGGAACGGAATCGACGGAATTAGGGTTTTGGAAAAATACTCCTCCCCAATCCTCATCCTCTTAACCTCATCCCTCTTAATTTGGTCCTACGCCAACGCCGGCGGCTTCACCCACCTCCTCTCCTTAAACTCCACTCTCTCCGCCGCCCAATTCTGGTCTCTCTTCTTCCCATCCCTCACCGCCAACATAAGCTTCTGGGCCACGCTCGCACTCAACATCCCCGATTTCACACGATACGCCCGCACCCAAAAAGACCAAATAATCGGGCAGGCCGGGCTGCCCGTTTTCATGGGCGCCTTCACGTTCGTCGGCCTTGCCGTGACCTCATCCACCAAGATAATCTTCGGACGGGTCGTTTCAAACCCGATCCAGCTTCTCGGAATGATTGGCGGCTTCTGGACAAAAGTCTTATCCATTTTAGGCATAAGCTTGGCCACCGTCACCACCAACATCGCCGCCAACGTGGTGGCTCCGGCGAACGCGCTGGCCAATCTCAGCCCATCATTCTTCACTTTCCGGCGAGGGGCTCTGTTAACGGCCCTGCTCGGGATTGCATTCCAGCCATGGAGGCTACTGGAGTCGAGCGAGAGCTTCGTGTACACTTGGCTGGTGGGCAACTCGGCTTTAATGGGCCCAATTGGAGGTATTGTTCTTGCAGATTATTATTTGATTAATGGGGCTGAGTTGAGTGTGGAGGATTTGTACAGATCGGGTTCGAATGGGCGTTATTATTACCGGAATGGGTACAATTTGGCGGCGATCGGGGCTTTGGTTGTGGGGGTTTTGCCGGTGATTCCTGGGTTTTTGCAGAAGATTGGGGTTTTGGGTGAGGTTTGGGAAGGTTTTGCTGTGATATATAACAATGCCTGGTTTTTCAGCTTCTTTTTGGCGGGTTTTTTGTACTGGGTGGTTTCGAGGAGGAAGAATGAGGATGACCGGCTGGAATCTGAGCCGTTAATTACCTGAATATGTATGTGTGTTGGATTTTCCATGTAATTAGTTGTTCATTTTTTATTTTTTTTTTAAGCCCTTTTTTGTGAATAATGCTCGGAGGGTGTTCGAGAGGTACGTGTAGAAATGATTCAATGATAATGTGTAGTTGTAAAAAAGGGATATTCGGGTAAATTGTTAGACAATTATATATATATTTTTTTAATAGATATGCATATTTATTTACATGGGTGATTCTACGGTTAGAAACCTGATTCAAACTGTTCATTCAGTTGAATTCGGACGAGCCGATGGTCGATTCTTTATATAGGGACGATTTCAATCCCAACAAATTAAGATTTCCCGCCAGATGGTGCTTAAGGAGTAGATTACTAGATTTATTTCTACAGACAAACACCCAATTTGATGTGCATTGTGTCAAATAAATTGGGATTTTGACCTCTTATTGTCATTAAATTAATCTCCAATAACCTGCAAAGCACACTTATGGGAATTCTCAAGCATAGATAAATAAACCTGCTTTCTCACATCTTGCAGCATCCGTAGCTTGTTGCATAACAACGTTTTGTCTCGACATAGGAAAAAATAGGCTTTTAGGATTTAAATTATCTATTTTATTATATTAACTATATTATTATTAGATGAACTTGGGCTTTTAGTCTTTATATATACTAGTAGGTTAGTAAAATAGGGTTTTTATAACAATAAATAAAATCTATTTCTCTCACTATTCTCTTCTTTCATTCTCTTCCTTATCTCAGCTCACGTGTTCACTGCAATTTTCTACTTCCCCTCAAACTAAAACTATAAAAATAAGAGTGATTGAACAGCAACATTTTACGTTGAGCCTACACCAGCTTCAAAGGTATAGATTTGGGAACATTTTCTTTAAGGTTGGTTATTTTTTATGTGGGTTTTAGGTGAAGTTGGTTACTTTTCTTTTGTTTTGAAATTCTCAAATTTTTAGTATGGCAAAATTGTATAAAAGGATTTTCTTTTTATTCAACTTAATCACTATTTTTATACCTTCGCCCTTAAGTATACACACATATATATACACCCGGAAAAGGCAAAAACAATTGTATGAAGTATGGACAGACTATAAACCAATATTAACTCGAGATTTGACATAAATGTAGTTATGCCAATGGCATATTCCAAATGCCTTCATTTCACTCCTTTCTTTTCCTCCCTTTAACAAAAAAAAAGGTTCAGTAAAGAAATTTCGTACTCAGCCACCTAATTCTTCATTCTTGTACTTTATAAATTATAATCTTTCCTCTTTAATTATATAACACACAAATCTAACCTCCTTACCAAATCCTCCAAAATTTGCCAAAAACCTCTCTCTAGGGCACCTGCCTCCTTTTTCTGGCCAATGGCGGATATTTCACTGCCGGCAGCGGCGGCTCCGGTGGCCGTGGAGGCGGAGCTAAGCTAATTTGAGGTGGTGGTCGGTGGGCCTCCTGTTGTTGTATACGGCAACTTTTCTATCCTTTGGCATTTTAGTTCACTTCCTATATCCTTAATTTGTCTCTCGTTTTTTGTTTTCTTTTAAAGTTTGTATTGCGCGTGTTTTGCATAATAATGTATTTGAGTGTTGGATCTTGGCAATATTGTAATTAGAGAGATTTTTGGCTGGAACAATTTGTATTGTGTTTTCATGTTTGCTGATTGTCAGAGCTCATAAACGAATATATGTTCCTTTTTTATATTTCATATGGGGCTTATTCAAATCATGATGGTGGAGTTCAAGGTTTTGCTGGTCTTTGTACATTAGCCAACTACTGATGCAATTCTTCATGTTCTTTGAAAATATGTGTGATGGACAGTTAAAAACAGGATTTTTGTGGATGGAGTTTTTAGTTTTAACTGAATGAAACAAATTAGAACATTCTATCTATGTGAATCAAGATTCAAGACTTGTTGAGCTAAAATTCTATAGCTAGAGATGGAGACCTTTAAAGAAAATGCTTCTAGATTCAAAGAACTACTAATTTATATCAATGAATAACATTACACAAAATGACTTCTTAACAAATTCATAGTTTCTGGATTTTTGAAGCACACTTGATGCTGAGGATGAAAACATAAGACTTCCCACATATCTTCACTACAACCTTTCATGCATCAAACCCTTTTCTCATCACTTCCAAATTCACCACCACACTCGATTTTCCGCCCGACAACGTCTTCTATAAGCCGCGTCACGTTAACATACGACGAGCCCCCTTCCTCGGTCGCCCTCTTCGCCATTTTCCCGAGCTCCCGAGCTCTCTCTCTCCTCTCCGCCCCCCTCTCTCCTCCATCCATCAACTCCTCGATCCCCGCCTTAATCCCCTCTGACCTCACCTGAACTCCCACCTTCTCTTCCTCTCCGAAAACAACCGGCACCTCGACTCCCACCCTCACCCCTGTTTTCGCGACGCTCAAAACGAACTTCTCGTTCGAAAACTGCTCCGCAAAAACCGGCCAAGTCAGCATCGGCACCCCCGCCACCACCCCCTCGAGCGTCGAGTTCCACCCGCAATGCGTCACGAAACCCCCGACCGACGGGTTCTCGAGTATCAACACCTGCGGGGCCCACCCGCGGATCAAAAACCCCCTCCCCTCAACCCTCTCCTCGAACCTCTCGTCCCCGAGCCACTTTTCGAACTCGTCCGGCGCGTTCCTCACGACCCACACGAATGGCCGGGCCGAACCCTCCAACCCCAACCCGAGCTCAACGAGCTGCGGTGCCGCCAGGCGCGACAGACTCCCGAGGCAGACATAGACAACCGTCCCCTGTTCTCGGGAACCGAGCCATCTCAAGCACTCGTGCTCGTCGATCGAGGGTCGATTCCCTCGTTGGGCCTTATCCAAGAAATCACTGTCGTTGCACGACGAGACGGGCCCGACACACCACACCTTCGTCCCCTTTGCTTCGGCGTAACCCTTGACATACTCTGCCTCGAGCTCCTCGAAAGTGTTGAAAACAATCCCGAAACCTTTGGAATCGGCCTCGAGAACCTCCCGGCGTAATTCTTCCCACTCGGGAGAGACTTCCTCGGCCGTGCCCCGAAGCTGCGCTTTCGTGAGCTCGACTCGATCGGGCAGTCCGGGCAGCACGGAATACTCTGTGTCCGAAGACACGCCCTTGAAAACCGTGGGGTCGTCGAGCATGTGCATGCATAGTAGAGAAAAACAACTCATCCCGTGAAAGACGAGCCTCGAGATCCGCAATCGAGCGGCGAGGCCCGTCGTCCATGGGTAGCACGAGTCGGAGAGCAAGCAAGTCGGGTCGGGTTTGAGGTTTCGGAGCGAATGCTCGACTTGGTCTTCTAACTTGGCGGTCGCGCGGAAAAATTTGAGTATGTCGTCGACCGAGGATAGCATTTCGAAGTTGTCGCAATTGCTTGGGAGGCCGGCCTCGGAGCTCGGGAGTTCGATGTGGGAGACACGAATGTCGAGGCCGGAATCGGCGGCGCGTTGGATCACGGGCTCGACTCGGGAGTGGTTGCGGGGAGTGGTGAGGATCGTGACGGTTAGGCCGCGTTTGGCGAGGAGTCTTGAGATGTCTACCATGGGAATAAGGTGGCCTTGGGCAAGGAAAGGGAAGAGGACAAAGTGATGATGTTTATGTTGTATGGCCATTTTTTTTTTTTTGGAGNGATGATTTTGGGGTTAATTAGATATGATGTACGGTGTTTTTTGGAGATGGGAGTTTAAAAGCCCGGGTTGAAAGTATTGGGTGGTGGAGTTTTCTCAAGGTTTTTGTTGTTTGATAGAGGATTTTAGAGTCTACTTTAGTATATTTTATTACTACAATTTTGAAAGAATTTTTGTGGATGGTTTTTAGGGGTCCCCGTCCTTGGTCCTGTCTATTTAGTCAGTATTGGTGTCTTATGATGGAAATTTCCGAGCACATGTAAGTCCCAACATTATTCGAGTTAGACTTTCGAGGAATATAGTTCCAAAGACAATTATTGATTCACGTCAATTCTCAGAATTGAATTCCGACAATAATAAAAAAAAAGGAAAAATAAAGTCTTAATGAGTTTGTTTGATTGTTTTAAGCTAAGTTCACGACTCAAAGTTTGATTGAAAGCAAAATAAGCAAAATTGAGTGCAAGAGAATTGAATCACAATATCGCGATAAAGATGAAAATAATATAAAAATGATTAAACACCCCAAAGCCCGATATGGAAAGGAGATACCAAGAGGTTCAGAAACATGTGCAATCAAGTGATCGTCACTAACTCACTACTCAATGAACCAATTTAAAAGCTAATCGATTCATGCCACAAAATCGACTACAAAATCACATAATCCCTATAGCATACTCTACTCATGAAAGTTCTAAACTTTACTTAAGAAAATATCTAAAAAATATAATTAAACAAAGTCAAAATAACTTACAAGATCTTGAACCTTAAAAACTTATATGTCTCAAACTCTCTATAGTAGCATCAAGACTAATAATATATTTTAAAAGAAACATTTTATTTATTATTTTTCGTGATTATATAGATTATTCATCTTTTAATTATATTTGATTTAACATATAAAATAATATACTTTTTTTTTCTGAAAAAGACATACTTTAATTTCAGCTCTTGGCTCCAAAATCCAAATCGTTGTTTGTGGGAAAAATATCTGCTTTTACAAACCCTCAATTGAGATATTTATTTTACAAAATAATCAATTTGGGCCCCTAACCTAATCTTGGGAATCTTGCTTCTAGAAGAGGTACCATGACTTTTCAGTCAATCTGTTGACTTATGAGGGTTATTTTGGTAAATCTGGATCATGCCTTATACTGGAGAATGTAGATTGATTGGAATCAGTACAAATCCACTACAAGGTACGTACAAAGTATTGACAGGCTGTAGAGAAGATTACTTTCTATTTTTCTTCTGTTTTTCTTTTTTCTTTTTTTTTTTAGTATGTGAATAGGAGTTGTCGAGCTAGCTACGTATTGTGGACGTGGCTCACATGTTTGCAACATGCAATATGAATTATGATCAAATATTGTGTGTGTGTGTGTGTTTTTTCTTAGCATATAATTTTTTTGATTTGGTTCATGTTCAGTTTTTTTCTGCGTTATGGTGCGATTTGGTTACTCTTTTACAAAAAAATAGTTTTCAATATTTTCTGTGGAGTGTGATTTTGCACGAACCCAATTAAAGACAAATGTATAGAAACTCGACGGAAAATCGATAAAACCGATCTGACTTTGCAATTCAGTGTGGTTAATTCTGTATTGTTCTGTTATTTTATAAGGTTAAAAATTTTCCGTCTCTTTCGTTCCAATTTCTTTCCGTTTTATAGTGCAATTCGGTTTTTTTCTTTGACTAGTAAAGTGGTATCGAATGATTTGGGCATAATAAGGTACTTCTACTAACAATGCATAAATATCTCTATAAAATAACTAACTATGTCATTAAAATTGCTGGTATTTTTTATCATTGTATAAACTACTACATTCCTCTGTCTCTAGACATATTGGTGCCTACCTCATTGATGCATCGTCCCACGAGGTGGGAATGAATTTTATCTCCAAATAAAATTGACTTTCCAAAATTTTGGTTACATATTTCCAAACTTTGGTTACATGTATTCTCCAAATAATATTCCTCATAAGTTCCTTTCATTGTCCACAATACAATTTTTTTCCAATATGTAATAACCGGTCGACCCTTCCCGTGATGTGATGACGTACGCTCTTACGTCACCGCCATATTCAAGAAACCTCCATCAAGAAGGTTATATATAAGCCATGCCCCTTAAGCCTCAACTCCATAAAAAATCCAGCTGAATAAAAAGAAAGAAAGAAAGAAAGTATAATGGCTATAAAAGAAAATCAACCCCATTTTGTTCTTCTCCCATTCATGGCCCAAGGCCACATGATTCCCATGGTAGACATCTCAAGACTACTCGCCAAACGCGGGATAACCGTCACAATCCTACTCTCTCCCAACAATCACAACCGAGTTAAACCGATAATCAACCGCGAGGTCGCCTCCGGGTCGAGCATTCGCGTCTCCCACTTCAGATTCCCGAGCGTCGAAGCCGGCCTTCCGGAAAGTTTCGAAAGTCTCGAGGGGATGCTCTCGGTTGACGAGTCCTTAAAATTTCTCAAAGCCACAACCCTGTTGGAGGACCGAGTCGAACAAATCCTTCGAAACCTCGAGCCTCGACCAGCTTGTCTAATATCCGACATGTGTTTTATGTGGAGCGCGGCCGTGGCCACCCGATTGAGAATCCCGAGGATCGTGTTTCATGGGCCGAGTTGCTTTGCACTTGTCTGCATGCATTTGATGAAAGCCTCCAACAATTTTGAAGACATTGCCGCTTCGGATACAGAGTATTTCGTGCTGCCTGAGCTGCCCGATCGGATAGAGATAACGAAGGCTCAGATTAGGGGCACGGCTGGCGAAATGCCGCCCGAATGGGCCGAATTTCGCAGGAAGATGTTTGATTCGGAATCCGAATCTCTCGGAACAATCGCCAACTCATTCGAAGAGCTCGAACCGGAGTACCTGAGGCGCTACGTGCAAGTTAAAGGGAAAAAGGTTTGGTGCATTGGGCCCGTCTCGTTGTGCAACGAGGACGAGTTGGATAAGGCCCAACGAGGAAAACGAGCCTCGGTCGACGAGCATGAGTGCCTGCAGTGGCTCGGTTCCCGAGAACTGAGCTCGATCGTTTACGTCTGCCTCGGGAGTCTGTCTCGCCTGGCCGCTACTCAGCTCGTCGAGCTCGGTTTAGGGTTGGAGGGTTCGGGTCGGCCGTTTGTGTGGGTCGTGAGGAACGCACCGGACGAGTTCGAAACGTGGCTCGAGGACGAGAAGTTCGAGGAGAGGGTAAGGGGAGGGGGTTTTTGATCCGCGAGTGGGCCCCGCAAGTATTGATACTCGACCACCCGTCGGTTGGGGGTTTTTTGACGCACTGCGGGTGGAACTCGACCCTCGAGGGTTTGGCGGCGGGGGTGCCGATGCTGACGTGGCCTGTGTTTGCGGAGCAATTTTTGAACGAGAAGTTCATTTTGAGTGTCGCGAAAACAGGGGTGAGGATGGGGGTCGAGGTGCCGGTTGCTTCCGTAGAGGAAGAGAAGGTGGGAGTTCAGGTGAGGTCGGAGGGGATTAAGGCGGCAATCGAGGAGTTGATGGATGGAGGAGAGAGAGGGGCGGAGAGGAGAGAGAGAGCTCGGGAGCTCGGGAAAATGGCGAAGAGGGCGATCGAGGAAGGGGTCTCGTCGTTTGTTAACTTGACGCGGCTTGTAAACGACGTCTGTCGAAGGGGAGATGATGATTGTGGTGATGAATATGGAAATGGTGAAGTGAAAAAGTTGGATGAATGAGAGTTTGTTTTTGTCATAGGTTGTTTGGGTAAGGAAAATGTCATGTAAGTTGTGTGTAGTGTATGTTGTTTCAATTGGCTTGTAAGAATTGAGAAAGATTGTTCATTCTCTAATAAAGTAAAACTGAAAGAAACATTGGGGGAAAAAACAGAAGCAAAAACAACAAAATTCAGGGAATAAATCCCAGAAACTGTAAAGTAAGAATTTGAATACATCTTGTATGTAGCTGTAAGATTTCCTCATACTAGAGCTATTAAACGAATCGAACAATTCGTCTGACTTATAAAAATTCGAGCTCAACTCGAATGAGTCGAGCTGGAACAACTATTAATCGAGCTAGTTTATTAAACAAAGCTAGGATAGATTAACAACTCGTTTTAATTAAATATTTTTTATGAAATAGTATAACCAAACTTGTTTGTGATACGTATTGTCGAACATCTCATTTAAAAATTTAAATTTGTCAAAAGAGTCTAATTCGAAGCGAAGCTACTCAACTCGACTGAACAATGTTGGAATATTAGAGTGATTGGTCGAGCTACTGAAGATAGTGAAGAAAAATGAAAATGAACTGTTAAGGCCGTTTTTAGTTTTACCATAAATATGTTTTGTTTTTGTTTTAGTGTGTGCGACGTCGTTTTAGGGTTAATCTCGTAAGTGACAAAACGTCATCGTTTTGTCTTGCATGTGTGCAATAAATACTGTAAAAGGATTCATAATCTGTACGTACGAAAATATCTTCCCAAAAAATGAAAATGGAGAATTCTCAGAAATCCTTTGCGTTTTTTTCGATTAAGATGAAATTTGACATGGTATCAGAGCAGGCGAGCCTGTTTATCTTCTTCCGCGCATAGATTGAGTCGATTTCACAGCAGATCCAATTTTTTTTTACCTCACTCCACATCAATGGCGCCGCGAGAGAATACATCGAAATCGAAACAGGATCCGTTTTCACTTCACGGTTCCGATAACCCTGGTATGTTGCTCGTAACAAATCCTCTTACTGGTAGCAATTTTTTGCCTTGGAAACGATCAATGATGATTGCCTTGGGAGCTAAAACCAAACTCGGTTTCATAAATGGTGATATAAAAATGTCGGATGTTGGTGATGATGACTATCCTGATTGGAAAAAGGTGGATTGGATGGTGTTATCCTGGATCATTAACTCGTTATCAAAAGATATCTCAGAATCATTCTTATACGCTGAAACCTCGAAGGAACTGTGGGATGATATATGTCAGCGGTTTGGTGAGAACAACGGACCTATGAAATACAAAGTTCAGAGGGAAATTTCTACTCTAACTCAGGGAAATAACACGGTTATGGAGTATTTCAACAAGATGAAAAAACTGTGGGATGAATATGCTTGCATAGCTCCATTGCAAGTCTGCGACTGTGAAAAGGCAAGAATGTGGTGCAGCAGGATGCTGAGACAAAGTTGATTCAATTTTTGATGGGGCTAAGTGACTTCTATGATAATGTCAGAAATCAAATCATGTTAATTGATCCTCTACCAACAGTAAACAAGGCCTACTCTATGCTCCTTACAGCTGAGAGGCAAAGGAATATTCAAACTGAGTATGGAGGGAGGATTGATAATGCAGCCATGGTAGCTAAAACAGGATATGGTAGAGGAAATTCTTTTACACAAGGTAGGGCAGGTAATGAAGGAAAGCCATGGGATTCAGCAGGCAGAGGTAGAGGTTTTCAGAGAATGACCAAAGAAGAGAAAGCAAGACTCATATGCGAGAAATGTGGAATGAAAGGACATAACACAAGCACTTGCTTCAAAATCCATGGTGTACCAGATTGGTACAAGGATATGAGAGGACAGCAAGGTAGGAACTATGCAAATACAGCAGAGGTATCTTCTCATATGATTGGTCAAAGTAATGCTGGAGAGATGAGAAGTCAACTTGGGACTCAAGACATAAGTTCAGTAATTCAGCAGCTACAAGAGATAACCAAATACATTAAAGGGAGAGAAGAGTCTGAAAAGGTAGACTATGCCCAATTTGTGAGTTTTGAAGGAAAAGAAAATAAGAACACCATGCATTTTGCCCTATCAGCTCTGAACAATGAGTGCCAAGATGAATGGATAATAGATACAGGTGCAAGTAGGCATATTTGCAAAAATGAAAGGTCTATGAAGAATATTAGCCTGCTCAAAATCCCAGTAATGGTGTGTCTTCCAGATGGAACTTTGAAAAAGGTTCTGTACAAAGGAGATGTGGTGCTAGATGAAAACATTACTCTACATGATGTGCTCTTAATGCCATGACAATGACACACATAGTTCTGTACAAGAAACTGAGAACACCAATGATGCAGCTGAACCTGTTGAAGAGACTGAGAGTAACAATGACACAAATAACCAAGTCCAAGAACCTGAGCTTAATCCGGTTAGAACAAGTGCAAGGGTTAGAAAACCACCAACTTGGCAGTCAGACTACATATGTGCTGATCTTGCAACTTCTTCTTCACACATTCAGCATGACTCACACCACTTCTTGGCAAATGTCTCTCTTGACAAGGAACCAGTTTATTATGGGCAGGCTAAAACACATCCAGCATGGGTGGATGCCATGGATAAGGAGCTCAAAGCTCTTGAACTTAATGGCACATGGGAGTTAACACCACTGCCCAAGGGAAAGAAAGCAATAGGGTCAAAGTGGGTTTACAAGATTAAGAGGAACAGTGATGGTTCAGTTGAAAGATTCAAAGCAAGGCTCGTGGCAAAAGGCTATAACCAGCAAGAAGGTGTGGATTTCTTTGATATTTTTTCTCCTGTGGCCAAATTAGTAACTGTGCGAATGTTTATAGCTATAGCAACAATGAATCAGTGGGGTCTCCATCAAGTAGATGTCAATAATGCTTTCTTACATGGGTCCCTCAGTGAGGAAGTGTACATGATACCTCCACAAGGCTACTTCAAGGCTAAAGCTGGAGAAGTTTGCAAACTTAAAAAGAGCCTTTATGGCCTGAAGCAAGCATCAAGGGAATGGAACAAAGAACTCACTCAGAAACTCTCTATTTTTGGGCTCACTCAGTCACCTTATGATCACTGCCTGTTTACTTTGAAAAAAGGAAAGAGTTTCATGGCCATTTTGGTCTATGTTGATGATGTACTGCTCACCAGCAATGATGAAAACATGGTGGCAGAATTAAAGGACTTTCTTGACAAAGAATTTACCATTAAGGATCTTGGAGCAGCAAAATATTTCTTGGGTGTTGAAATACTTAGAACCACTGCAGGAACAACTCTCTGCCAAAGGAAATATATACTTGACATGTTGGGAGATATGAACATGTTAGACTGTGCCACTGTGAAGACTCCTTTGCCTTGTGGCCTCAAACTGAAAAATGAAGATGGGAAACTGTTAGAGCAACCAGAATTGTACAGAAGAATCATTGGGAGACTTCTTTATCTTAACCTCACCAGACCTGACATCACTTATGGAGTTCAACAACTCAGTCAATTTGTTAATGCCCCGTATACATCTCATTGGACAGCTGCTATGCACATCCTTAAATATCTCAAAGGGACTTCAACTCATGGTCTATTTTTTCCCACAGCCGGTGCTTTCACTCTCTCATCTTTCAGTGATGCAGATTGGGCTTGTTGCAAGGATACTCGAAGATCAGTCACCGGGTATTGTATCTTTCTTGGCAACTGTATGATCTCTTGGAAGACAAAGAAGCAACAAACTGTCTCTCGTTCTTCGGCTGAAGCTGAATATCGCGCCATGAGCACCACAGTTTCAGAGTTGCTTTGGATATCTTACATATTGCAGGAATTTGGGATTCATGTGCCTCGTCCTATACCTCTTTGGTGTGACAACAAAGCTGCCCTTCATATCTCCGCTAACCCTGTCTTCCATGAACGCACCAAACATTTGGAAATTGATTGTCATTTCATACGGGATAAATACAAAGATGGTTTTGTGGAACCTATGTATCTTGCTTCGAAGTTGCAGTTGGCTGACATTTTTACCAAGACTTTGCCAGCTTCTCAAGCGCATTTGCTTTTGTCCAAGATGAGCCTTTATCAACCACGCTCATCTTGAAGGGGGGGTGTTGGAATATTAGAGTGATTGGTCGAGCTACTGAAGATAGTGAAGAAAAATGAAAATGAACTGTTAAGGCCGTTTTTAGTTTTACCATAAATATGTTTTGTTTTTGTTTTAGTGTGTGCGACGTCGTTTTAGGGTTAATCTCGTAAGTGACAAAACGTCATCGTTTTGTCTTGCATGTGTGCAATAAATACTGTAAAAGGATTCATAATCTGTACGTACGAAAATATCTTCCCAAAAAATGAAAATGGAGAATTCTCAGAAATCCTTTGCGTTTTTTTCGATTAAGATGAAATTTGACAAACAATAGTCCATCCCGTGACCACTATTCTATTTATTGGCTGCCCACAATTTATGAAGCTGTCAGAAGGACAGTGGACCGTCCAGTCAAACTTAAATTTGACTCGTAATAGTGATTTTATTTTATCAAGAAAAATGACAAATCGGAATTTGGAGGTCATATTCATGTTAGACACACATACATGGAATCATACATGTTAACAAGCTTTGTGTCCATTAAGACATGAATTAAAATTGGAATAATCAGTGACATGTTCCATATATAGGATACTAAATTCAAATCAGCAAGATAGAAGACTTTTTTGCTCATGGTCTATACTTAAGAGGGCTAAAATTGCAAGTTTTTTATTAATTTTTTTTTTTTTAATTTTTGGTTTGTTCTCTTTTATTAGGCAACTTCAACTCATTTGGATATCTCTTTTATAGATGTGGCCAAGGGTCGACTCGCTCGAAATCGACTCGGTCAAAACCGTTGACTGCAGGTCTTGAATCGGCTCGTAGACTGAAGGAAGGGTCACAGCTCGCGTCGTGCCATCAGTTGGATGATTTCGAGTGGAAAGATTATTGTCCGATGGTTTTCAGGTTTTTTGCAGTGCTGCCGAGCAAAATATAATATTATGAATCTTTTCGCACTTTAGTTAATCTTGATCGGTTTGTGCATTGTAGGAATCTGAGGGAGATGTTTAAGATTGATGCTGCAGATTACATGATGTCGATATGTGGAAATGATGACCTCAGAGAGCTATCTTCACCCGGAAAAAGTGGGAGCGTGTTTTTCCTCTCTCAAGATGATCGTTTTATGATCAAAACACTACGAAAATCGGGAGTTAAGGTTTGAGATATTCTCTTATAGTTTGTTTGAGCTTTTATTACAACACATGACTATTAATCTCCGGGTTTAGGTTCTGTTTCGAATGCTCCCGAACTATCAACATCATGTCCGTAGATACGAAAACACTCGTTAAGAAAGAAAGAAAGTTCTTGTTGCTGCATTTTTGCAGTTCCGGTTCGTTGCAATGGGGAATATGTTCTGCACGGAGTTGAGAATTCACCTGAAATTCGATCTGAAAGGTTCTTCATTGGGACGTTGGGCAGATAAGTTCAAAATCGACGAGAATACGATACTTAAAGATCTTGATTTGAACTACTGTTTTTACTTGGTGATGAGAAAACTTGTAACTTTTCAGGCAGATCGAAATGGATAGCAAATTGTTGGAGTCGGAGAACATTATGGATTACAGCTGAAACGTAGGTATTTTGTAACGAGTGCGCTCAACTTGTAGTACGAACTAAAACAAAAATTATAAAATGCGGAAGCAATAAATCGAAGATTTAAAAACTCTTCAGGGAAGCGTCCCACTTCCCCTCAGAGCTCTTTCATTGATAAACCGTTTGTGCACACTTGTATAGTTTGGACTTACACGACTCGAACTCCCTTCTAGTCTAGCCACAACTACACACGATTCTATCAACTACTTCTCCGACCACGTCCCGTGGATTTTACCTCTCGAATCCCTCGAGCTAAAGACAGTACTTAATCCCTAAGCACTGATCACACAAGTGTTTGAATGAAAAACAAAGAAAAGAAAACAAAACAGACTTCAGTTCTTCGATGACGTAAGAACACCGAAAAACTGACCAACGAAAATAAAACACAAAAAGCTTGCAGCTCGAATATGGAATAGAATATAATGCTCTCAGCTCTCCAAAATTCGTTCTTCAAGCAGATATATATACAATCCCTAGGATGTGGAGTGTTCTCCAAGTATAGGACTCCTTTTTGATTTCCTTCCAAGTTTATCCAATTTCCTTCCATGTAAATCATAAGAGATATGGTAGGTGTAGATCTCTATCTTCTCTTTCCAAAGATCTTTCCTTCTTATATGATTTCCTACAAAATATATCCATAATAAGATCATGTAAATCTAATATATATGTATATAAATCGAATATATAAATATAAATATAAATATATTCGAATATATAAATATAAATATAAATAAAAGAACTTCCCTTTTTATTTCTCATGCTTGCAAGAATATATCTTCACTTATATTAATTTTTGAACTTCATTGCCAAAAATATAACTCTTTCAATCTCCCCCTTTGGCATCTAGTTCGAAAATCATATAATGAAGATAACCTGAAACACAGTTAGAACAGCAAGCACGAATATGCAGAATAATATCATAAGGAACAAATCACTGCAGTAAGAACACAGTCCATAAAGTACCTGCAGTTACAACTCATTAGACGCACATAGCATAAAACAATCAGAGCAAACATCCTACCAATCACAACAAGTATTAACAGCAGCCACACAAAAAAAAAGTCATAAGAGGTTCTAACAAAAAACCAATCTCAGCTATTGAATCTCCCCCTGACTTCTCAGCTATTGAATCTCCCCCTTTTTCGAACTACGGGATGCCGAAGGGCCTGTACCCGTGTTCTTTTTCCACCGTCCTCCATGTGAAGAAACGACGATGGTAATTCCTATCAAAGCAACTAAGAGGACTATAATCAGAGCAATCAAAACACATCAAGCTATCAGAACCTAATTTATCTCCCCCTGTCAGAATAGTCAAAACAATCAAGCAGCAAGACATAGACGTTCTTACATCTTGCAGAAACATGTCAAAAAACAGCACCCAATATAATCAGAAGCAAACAACTAGAACATGATCCCCAACATCTTCAGAAACATCCAATTTCTCCCCCTTTTTAGACTGAAATGCCAAAGGCAAATCTCCCCCTGAGTAAGAACATCGAATGAGAGAGAGAAAGACAAATACCACCGAAGACGAAAGTCGTTGCTTCAACTGATCTATAATCATTGAAGACTATCCATCTCTTCTCTAGACTTTTGCCATCAGCCAAAGTGTTTCAGAAGCACATTAGAAAATGATGCAGGAACACAAATGGTTAAAAGAAAAAATTCAAAGAGAGAAAAATAAAAATGGGGTTCTCAGGTTCTGAAAATGAAGATATATAGTGAGGACGTGATGGGTGAGAAAAAAAATATCAAGGGAAAGGTTGAATAACATGCAGCAAGAACATCCCCATCAAAACTGAACACACAAACCCATTAACACACTAACACACGTGTCCAACTAATTCAAAATTAGGAAGAATAAGATTTTATCATCCAAAAATAAATCCCCTCACAATTTTTTAATGTCCAAGTAATTCACTCAAGAAGGAAATCACATGCATTATGCCTAAGGATGAAAAAATAAAAATAAAAATAAAAATAAAACCGCATGCAAGACACTAAAATCAATAAAATCCGTTCTTAATCTACTTAGGCATGATTGATGCATAATTAATCCAAAATCAACAATGTGCTACAAACACACCAAGGAACAAAACAGAGGCGGTATTATTATATATATGTATATGTAGCGCAAGTCATATCTCTCCAGAATTCCAACACCAAAACAACATAAGCTTTATTATTCACTAGGCTTTTCACTTAGTAACAACCACTGCAATAGTGAAAGTCAACCCCATTACTTTGCCCAATGATTTTAAGCAACAACATTAATTTACATCGAGGCTTTTCACTTAGTAACAATCACTGCAATAGTGAAAGTCAACCCCACTACTTTGCCCCAATGCTCGGTGTAAGAACTCGTTTTTTTTTTTTTTTTTAAATCATTATGCACTACGTTTTTTATGAAGATGACCACCTTATAACTCCAAGTAAAAACACCACACAATGAAGTGCAGTGGTTGTCAATAGCTACCACCCTTCACAACATTTTCTGTCCATGACGCTCTTTTCACAGTCGATCCCAAAGGAAACGAACCATGTGCTAGCTATCGCTCTAGATCATTGTGTGAAGGCAGCTCTTTTTGACAGAAATATATTTGTTCCAAGGTATGCAAGAACACGCCATCAATTAAAGACAATCAACATCTCACCCGCTTTCAGAAGAGTCAGAACTTCATTTATGACTTAGTGGTGAAATATATGCAAAAATGCAAGGCATGCCTAATGCAAATAATACCCTATATGCATACACGCAATGCAAATATAATATATATACTAATATACAATACAATATAATATAATGGCATGCAAGCAATCAGAGAATGCATATCCCTAAGGATTTCCTTAGAGAGATAAATCTTTGAGCATCAAGGTTATGTGCTGGAACATATTTATGAACAATTAATCCATCATCAACCAAATTTCTAGTAAAGTGGCATAGCATGCTAGTACGATTAAGAGAATGTTGAACAGAATATTTGGAAACATTAGCCGCATAAGTAAGGTCAAAGAAAAGGTCAATGGCTTGTACCTCAGTTCCAAATTTAAGAAAAATGTGCTTCATCCACACCTTTTCTGAACAACAAGTTTCAGCCACAAAATTCTGATCGGTGTAAGAACATCCGTCAGACGTACTCCATTGATCAGCAACATTCTCATCCCTATCAGCATCACAATCTCTAATAATACCAGAACTCGTATCACATGAGTCAAAAGTCATATAATCAATCAAATAGCAATTATCATGCGATCTAGACCCTGTAAGAACACAATTATTATTCCTATCTGAAACCAAACATTCATTCAAGGTGAAACTCACAGAAAAGTCTTGATCACATAATTGACTCACACTCAGCAAATTCGCTTTCAAATTTTCAACAAGAAGAACATTTTGAAGTTTGGGCAATCCAGGAACATTCAAACATCCTATACCGAGAACTCTATTCATAACACCATCACCAAAGGTCACAAAACTAGAAGGAACAGGCAAAATATTAATCAAGTTAGATTTTAGACCTGTCATATGACGAGAACAACCACTGTCAAAATACCAATCAGAATTAGAGGTGGATTTCAATGCAAGTATAGAAGATAAGCACACGTTCTTACTGCCTTTAGGAACCCAAATCTTTTTCTGTTCATGATTAACCACATCAACCTTTAGTTTAGGTGCTTTCAAGGGTACACCATATGGACTCCATTCATCAATTCGACCAGTATAAATATCATTATGCATCCTATAACACTTAGGGCGAATATGACCACGGATACCACAATAGTGACAAACAGGCACAAAGTTCTTACCAGAGTTCTTATGCTGAGTTTTGGTAGAATTAGGCTTACCATTCTTACCTTCAAGGCTGTAGCCTTCTTTGACAAAAGTCAGGTCAGACTTACTCAGAGATGTGCTCGGCTCGCCAACTTTACCTTTCAGTTTCTGATTAGGAGCGTTCTTACTCTGGTCTGAGGTACCAATTTGTTGACTCAGCCTCTGAACTTCAGCAAATGAGGACTTGGGCTTGTTGATCATCTTGACAATCTCCTCACTCTTGCTGAGTTTCTCCTCCATTGTAGAACAATAACTCTTGAGCGTTACATGTTCTTCCATCACTCGACCGAGTTCTCTTTTGAGTGCAACAATCTCGGTTTCCCTTTCATCTATAGTTTTCTGCAAGACAAACATTTCATTACGTAGAGACTCAATGATAAAAACCTTTTCATCACATACCTGCTTGGACAACTTCTGTTCATGTTCTAACATCGTGATTTTGGCAACAAATTCGTCCAGCTTATGTTCCTCCTTGCTGGTATGAACATCAGATCTGGTCAGCTTATCATTCAGTTCGCCATTCATCATGCGAGTTTTCTGAAGTTCATCCTTCAAGTAGGTGATCTCCTTCTCATGCTCTGCAGAACGATGTTGGAACACCTCGACTTGAGCTTGTAGCTTTTTCACCATTTTTCCAGCTTTGATGCTCGTCTCTAATGCAAGCTTATGGGTAGCCAAATCTACTTCAACAGAACCATCTCCAGAATCATCAGAATCACTATGAGAATTATACGTGTAAGAACACATACCTGAATCGGCATCACAAGGCTTATGAGAGGCTGTATAACACGTGAAGTTATTGAGAGAAGTGACGGCAAATTTGTTCGTGTGTTGCTGGTCATCATCGTCTTCATCATCATCCCACGTGGCTCGATAGGTTTTGTTCTTCCTCGTGAAATTCGGACAGTCTTTCTGGAAGTGTCCAAATCCCTTGCATTCACGGCATTGGTTCTTCTCTACATCTTGATTCTGAGTCTTCTGAGAATGTGAGTTGGAACGTCGTTCACCAGACTGCTGATTGATGTTCTTACTGAAGTCAGTAGGCTTCTTCCCTTGGAACTCCTTTTTCTTCTTTAACTGAGAGAAGTGGCGTGTAAGAACATCCAAAGCCTTAGCAATACTTTCAGCATCAAGAGACTCATCATCAGAATCCTCTTCGTCTTCAGCCTGTGTTGGAACATTGGCTTTCAGGGCTAAGCCTTTGCTTATTCCCATCTTATCATAACCACGATTGATTTCAAAAGTTCGAAGTTCTCCAAGTAAGTCATCGAGACCAAGAGGCTCGACTCGCTGAAAGCTCTCAAGTGCGGTGATCTTTTCACGGAATCGTTTGGCAAGGGTCCTCATGATCTTTTGCACTTGCCTCGCCTCAGAAATTTCCTCACCAAGCATGGCACTTTGGTTAACGAGATCACAAAAACGTGCATAGTACCTATCAATATTTTCATCATCCTTCATGCGAATAGTGTCGAACTCCGTGGAAATCATTTGGAGCTTGGAAGACTTCACGGCGTTGGTACCCTCAAATTGCCTCTCAAGAATCTTCCATGCGTCGCGAGCTGTTGTGCACTGGATGATCATCTTATGGCGAGTTGGATCCACAGCAGACATGATAGCATATAATGCACGAAAGTTTGCTTCTTCTGCTTGTCTTTCAACATCAGTCCAAAGATCCCTTGGTTTCTCGACTAGAACATGAGCAGCCGAGGTTGATGACTTTGATTCCGAGGGAGCTTTCGGCATGAGTGGTGTGGTCCAGCCTGACTCAATGACTTGCCAGGTTCCTTTACCCAAAGAGCGAATAAATATCACCATCATGGATTTCCAGTATCCATAGTTAGAACCGTCGAGGTACGGAGGGCGCGAAACGGACATGCCGTCGTGAATCATGGTGACCAATCACAGTCCCAAAGATCTTTATCCCGTATGTAGAACAGGAACACTGCTCTGGTGCCAATTGAAACGTAGGTATTTTGTAACGAGTGCGCTCAACTTGTAGTACGAACTAAAACAAAAATTATAAAATGCGGAAGCAATAAATCGAAGATTTAAAAACTCTTCAGGGAAGCGTCCCACTTCCCCTCAGAGCTCTTTCATTGATAAACCGTTTGTGCACACTTGTATAGTTTGGACTTACACGACTCGAACTCCCTTCTAGCCTAGCCACAACTACACACGATTCTATCAACTACTTCTCCGACCACGTCCCGTGGATTTTACCTCTCGAATCCCTCGAGCTAAAGACAGTACTTAATCCCTAAGCACTGATCACACAAGTGTTTGAATGAAAAACAAAGAAAAGAAAACAAAACAGACTTCAGTTCTTCGATGACGTAAGAACACCGAAAAACTGACCAACGAAAATAAAACACAAAAAGCTTGCAGCTCGAATATGGAATAGAATATATTGCTCACAGCTCTCCAAAATTCGTTCTTCAAGCAGGTATATATACAATCCCTAGGATGTGGAGTGTTCTCCAAGTATAGGACTCCTTTTTGATTTCCTTCCAAGTTTATCCAATTTCCTTCCATGTAAATCATAAGAGATATGGTAGGTGTAGATCTCTATCTTCTCTTTCCTTCTTATATGATTTCCTACAAAATATATCCATAATAAGATCATGTAAATCTAATATATATGTATATAAATCGAATATATAAATATAAATATAAATATATTCGAATATATAAATATAAATATAAATAAAAGAACTTCCCTTTTTATTTCTCATGCTTGCAAGAATATATCTTCACTTATATTAATTTTTGAACTTCATTGCCAAAAATATAACTCTTTCAACAGCCTCTTGCTTATCGAGCACCCCAACACCTCTCATGTCCTATAGCCAGCGCACGACGGTCGATGGGTTGAGCATCCTTGCCGAAGATGGTGAGGGCGCGTTTGGATATGAGACAAAACCGATTTTAATCGGTTTTGACCGATTGAGTTATTTTGTTTTCAATCTTCTAACTGGGCAAACCTAAATCGTCAGCATCAAAACAGTGTGCTGTATGAACTCTTTTCAGTAGAGCAATTGTTCATTTTGGTCTTAATGAGACTTGGAATTTGGACTATTTATTGCTCAAATGCATGTTATTGTTATTCCTGTAATATAGAAAAAAAAAATTATTTACGTGAAAATGAGTAAATCACATAATTAGTTCAAATTAATATCGATCACAAAGTGAAAGGGAACTTCAGACAGACAAGACAAGTCCCACTCAGTTGCTTTCTTAATTCAAATGAAAATCAAAGAGAGGGGTGAATTCAGATGTCTGTAAGGTCACAAGCAAAATGTTATGACAGTGGCTCGTTTTGTTAGGTCCACAGAGACAATTTAATGCATGCACCATAATTTTTTTTTTTACTTTCATATCCTCATCAATTTATTGTCGTGGAAATGTACATGTGTATTTTTATTTTATTTTTCGGTACAAAGAAGGAGGTCAAAGACCTATTCATATGTATTTAAAATAAAAGAATTTTACTATCACTTATGAAAGATATGTTCAATTGTAATTCAGAGCTTAAAAGTATAGATTATATTGATTAAAAAACAAAGTTTGTTATTAATATTATTTTGCAAATAATGAAATTCAGGTCAAGGCCTTTTTCTTATTTTATTTGGGAAAACAACTATGATTATGTGTCACTGCAAATTATGTCAGTCATAGTACGATTCAGATGTCACCAATATACGTAGTTCAGGCTGATTAGAACTGCAAACAGAACGAATCGAGTCGAACTCAATTTTTTTAGTTGGTGCTCAAGTTTGTTAAGGCTTTGCTTGACTCGACACTACTTGATAATATCATAAAGATGCTTGAGATCCGCTCGAATTTAAAGAGAATGTTACTTGATATTATGTCGAATTTAACTTGACTTTAGGTACTTCATATAATACACATAATTGAGTGGCTTGTCTGAAAATCGAGCTTACCACTTACAATTAGTTCGGCTCGCAATCCTTGTACAGCCTATGCTCGACATGCTTTATCTGAAAATGGATATACTACAATTATCTTAATGATAATAATTAAATAAATCGAACCTTAATATTTTTGTGATGGTAGACATTTTAAAACTGAAGTAAATCTATTCAACCAATCATTTTGTCTATTACCAACTGAAACAGCCTTTTTAATTCTTAAAAAAAAAAAAAAATAACACCAACCATGATCAAGACCACATCTCTCACCCACACCAATGTATTTTGCACTTTCGTTTATGAAACCAAACTGAAGCGACCCAGTAAGCGTATGGGTCTTTCAAAACTATCATTATTCAAGAAAGGCCCACCATAATTGACCCATATGGAGCCCAATCAATTATCGCTCTCTGACAAATAAGCCCCATCTTGTACTTATATTACGGAACTGCCACAGGACTAGGAACTAGCCATCACCGTCAAATAGATAAGTCATCCTCATTCAACCAGTTCAATCGCCTAATTTTATTAGTTTACAGTTACTAAAATATCTATTAAACTAATTCAATACTATATCGTTAAAATTAAATGTAAAACATTCAAATTAATTAAAAAAAAGTGATACTATATAAAAATACAAAAAAAAGAAAAAATAGTATTTTAGCAAGGATTTTTTGAATATTGATATGGAATCGGTACAATTCAATATTTTAACAAAAACGATATTTAAAAGATTACCGTACCAACCGAACCATATGTACTCAATTTTATTGGTAATATTAGATAAGGTACGTTATTTAAAATAGTAGATAAATGTAAGCATGATTTTAACGAAGCACGAATCCAACGATCACAAACCATCCATAATTGAAACCATGGTTTGGTGGTTCAATGATAGTCCGTAAAGTGACGAAATCGTAACCAGCTACTCTAACTGTCGGTTTCGGGAAGGATTCTAGACATCACCGACGTTCTTCCTTAATTAAAAAAATAGGAAAAATAGGTCAAATTTATATATAACATACTATTTCTATCGATTTCGTTAAATTTATCTTATAATAACAAAAATGCTAACCAACGGTTTAAATCGTACCCACCTATTTCTTAACAACCTCGAGGGCTCGAAAGCAAGCTATGGTTAGTTTTGCTAAATTAAACGAACCTAACTCGTCTCAGTTCGAGCTCAGCTCGTTAAGGCTTGAGTTCTGAGTTCGGCTCACTCGTTTGATAAACGAGTCGACCTTGAGCTCATATAAAGTTCGTTTAGTTAGCGAGCTGAGCTCGACTCGACTCGATAAGATTCGTTAAGACTCGAGAAGATAATTTTTATATAATTTTCTATGATTCTATTCGTTAAAACTTGAGATCGACTCGAACTCGACCCGTTAGTAATAAACGAACCGAGCTCGAGCTCGATTTCAAACTCGTTTAATTGACGAGCCTAGTCGACTCGAACTCGAGTTCGGCTAGGTGGTCACGGATTTCTGGCTAACCCTAACCAAATCCTTAAACGTACCCGTAACTGGAAACATTTTTAGATAAAAGAAAAAATAAAAGGAAAAAAACACATACACACACAAAAAAGGAAAACACAGAAAAGGAAAAAATCACGTCTCTCATCTCCTTTACCGTTTCCGTTTCCCTCACTTTCTCTTTCTATACATACAACTGGTTGTATATTGTATCCATCTTCGAAGTGCACAGTACTTTTATAATGTATATATAAGGCAAAAGCTTTAGTGACTGGTTGTCACGAAAGCTTTTCACCTGCCTGCCTTTCTCACTCTCATTGATAACACATTTTCAGTGTTCATTGAAGTTGGTTGAGCAGCCACAGAACAAATTGGGCGAGACGAAGTTAAAGTATTGCTGTCTTTTATTATACATACATATATATATAGAGAGAGAGAGAGAGGGAGAGATTCAATTTTAGAGAGAGAAAGTGAGGCATTAGGATGGGGACTTCAGGGCCGGGGCAGAGCAGTTACGATCTGTCGTTCAAGGTCTTGCTCGTCGGAGATTCGGCCGTCGGGAAGAGCAGCTTGCTCGTCACTTTCATTTCTAATGCCGTTGAAGATCTTTCGCCCACAATAGGTATCAAATCCGCTTTTGATGTATCTCGGTGTGCTGTGAGCTCTGAAAAATTTTGGGGAGTTTTCAATCTTCTAGTTGGTAGTTTTATCAAATGTTGTGAAGTAAATCATTTGAGGTTTTATGGTGTATTGTGTTGAATTTGATCCTAGATTTGATTCTTTTCTCTGTTTTGCTTTGGAAGTTGGTGTACAGTGGAAATATGTGGAACTTGAATCTGTGAGTCTGGAAAAACGACATGGATAAATGGACCATGAGGGGCGAAAAAACACCACTACGGATTATTTGATTTTGTTGTATTTGGTACTAATGTTTTCGATAATTTCGTTGCGGTTCAATCTGTAGCTCAAATTTATGGACAATTTTGATTGTGTGGCTATTGTTGTGCAAGTTTGCTTGTTTGGTGGTCCTTGTATCTTATGTAGGATGTTGAGTAACTTTGTCATATGAGTAGTCATGACTTGCGACTGAATTAAGTTATTGTGACTTTTGATTGTATGTTTCCTTCTACTTTTCTTCTTGATTCTAATATAGCTCTAACTAGGGGTCATACTTTTCAATATAAACAGAAGTATGACTTATTTCATAGCATAAGGATGAATATTTGTTAAAAAAGCATGACTGGTCAACCCACCTAAAGTTTAAGTTGTCTAATACAAGAATTTGTGCTTGCTTTTAGGCTAATTTCATTAGTTACTCCAAATGAATGAGTGAATGAATATACTTATGATTCGATATTCTGTAGCTGGTATAATAATTGAAGCAAAAGCCACTTCATCATTTGTTTTGTTATATTTTTCCTAGTAGAACTATAGATATTGGGCATCTTAATATACCATGAATGTTTTTAATAGTTTTATTAAGATAGTGAACTTGTGTTTACTTGCCGATGCATGTTAAACTTCAAAATTTTAAAACACAGTAGGATTCATCTGAAATGAAATTCTCCTTCTTTTCGTCTCTTCTTCCCTTCATTCAATTTTTAGGTGTGGATTTCAAAATCAAGTTTCTGACTGTTGGTGAGAAAAAGTTGAAGCTAACAATATGGGACACAGGTAGCACTACGCCACTTTCGACAGTCTTAATTTTGATTCAACATTCTAAAGATAACTAGATGTAAATTTATTCGATTTTCTTTTTATCATTCACATATTTGATCATGATTTCTCTGTTATTTTTTGTTGACAGCAAGTTTTTCATGTTTCTTGCAGCTGGACAAGAGAGGTTCAGGACATTGACAAGCTCATACTACAGAGGCGCACAAGGGATCATCCTTGGTAAGCATGAAACAAACAAAAAATAACACTATGTTTCACACAGTTGATATATATTGAAAACTCGTTGACTAGTTTTAAACTTTTAATCATTTCTCAGTCCTTTTGGTATATCGGCATAGAACAATGAAATCTGATTGAGAAATAGGGGACCACTGGGGTTCATCTTCTTGTAAATTATTACAACCGTCCTAACAAACGAAATGAATATAGAAGTCTCGTGCTATATTCATTGATCAACTTTTTTTTTTTCTTCTTCTTCTTCTTTTTTTTTTTCTCCTTTTGTATGTGTAGTTTATGATGTAACAAGGAGAGATACATTTACAAACTTATCTGATGTATGGGCGAAAGAATTGGAACTGTATTCCACCCATGAGGATTGCGTCAAGATGCTTGTCGGGAACAAAGTTGATAGAGTTAGTACCTACTTCCCTCTTGGTTTAATAATAGCAACCTACTTTTGTGTGACATTTATGTATCATGATCATTTTATCTCTCTTGGATTTGGCTAGTCTCATGACTTAATGATGAGGGAATTAAACATCGCAGGATTCTCTATTTTCAAAAAATGAAGTAAATCACAAACTCCATTTGGGCTACAAAAAGAGTCTTCGAGACTATTTCTCTGAATTAAGTTTGTTGGGTCTCTCTTGTTCGGTTAAATCACAATTGTAGCTCGTGTTTGGTATTTGCATACACAAATGATTTAATTCCTATATTTTTGGTAAAGTGATCACCATTCAGGTCTAACAACGATGTATGTTTTACACTACACTCTGCTTTTACAGGAATCCGAAAGAGTTGTGAGTAGGGAAGAGGGGATGACCCTAGCAAACGAACTTGGATGTCTATTCTTCGAGTCCAGTGCTAAAACTCGAGAAAATGTTGAACGGTGTTTTGAAGAGCTAGCACTAAAGGTAGATATGAATGCATCACTATCGATTTTATCAACGATTAGTCCAATTCCGTTTCTCCTTCAAAATTTGAAAACTTGCCCATTAAAATGACACAATCACTTAATATACTCCCTTTTTATTTTTTTCCATTTTTCTTTAGATTATGGAAGTACCAAGACTTCTTGAGGAAGGGTCAAATGTGAAGAGATATATCCTAAAACAGAAACAAGAACATCATGCGGCTCCTAGTGGAGGTTGTTGCTCGTAGAATGTTGCAATAAAAAGAATGGCTCGATTGTCAAACTTACGGTCAAAACGTGTAAATGATGTGGTTCTCTTACTATTCTCATCCCTTTTGCTTTTGTTGTGTTTGATGAGTGTCAAATGAGCTGCTCTTTTTTTAAGATATGGTAGCTCTTGTGAGGTTTGTTGGCTGGTGTTGTTGACCATTTTTACATCTGTTGTCGCCTTGTTGGGGTTGATTTGTGTTATGATTTGTTTCACTGCCTCTTGTGTCCTCAATGATTCAGGGTCTGTTTTGTAATTTTTCTTTCCTCAAATCCAATTTTGGTTTGTAGTATTGTAATTTTGAGAATTTGTTTCCACTGCTAAAACAATATACAATATTTGATCTAAAGAACTACAGAGGTGGGCTCTTTGGTAGGAGTAGTAACAGTGTTGTTCGGTGCAAAACCTCGCCAATCCCGAAAAGACTAAACACATGAAATCGAACCGGAAGTTTCTACATTAAAAAGTAACCAATTGAATCGCACCAAATTGCACAATGCATCTCAATTTTTGGATTCCTCTCGACTTTTATACATTTGTATTTAATTTGATTGTTATGGCAATGGGCTTGTTAAAAGTTGTGGAGAATCTATTCTAATTATTTGTTGTAGGTGTAAGGTGTATGTTGTGTTTTTATTTTTTCTTTACCATTTTGGTATCCCTGGTTTTACCGTTTGGGTAAAAAAAGAAAAAAGAAAAAGAAAAAAATTAATCCAAGGATGAATATCAAATTTACAGTCATCAGTGGGCATGAATAAAACTGTACACGGGTCAAGTACAACACAAGGCCAAGGAAAATAGTTTTGGACCAAGAATGAAGGCCCAGAAGTGCATCAATATTATCCAGCCCCATCCACTTTAGCCATCTAGCCCTACTGCCCTACATAGATGCTGGAAATATTCTAATTGATTATCCTTATTGCTCATATTTAGTAGGGTATTGAATTTATAAATAGCAAATTTATATTTTATTTAATCACTCACCTAATTCTGTAATTAGGAATCTGAAATATTTCAAGAGCTCATGGCCTAAAATGGTACTTTCCTAATCGAGTTTTTTTACCATTGAATCACATAGACATTCAATGCCCCACGTGTAGATTCGGATTTTCCGACTGAGATTAAACCTTAAAACAAAGAAGATTTTTCAGGACAAGATGAAACTATATTTTGAAGCAAAGTAAATTTTCTATTACACGTGTGATCGAGGTGAAAAGAAAAAAAAGGATCTCAAAGCAATTTAGTAATTGATCAAAATTTATTTAGAGAAATAATTTGTTCCCTTTTTCCCCTTATATTTAATTCACCCCTGACCCATAAAGGTAAATATCTCTGCTGTTCCTTGCCTGCAGTGGCCTTGCATTCCTCTCTGCATACTGCCAAATCCATTTTTTTTTTTTTAAATCTTGTTAATCTAACTGGTAAATACATGAAATATAATTAATTTTGTGTATTTTTTTCATAAAGGAAAATACTAAGAAGCACAATAACTTACATCATGAACAGCTTCTCTGAGCAAATTAACTTGGTGTCTAGAAACAGTTTTCACCTGGAAATAATTCAAAAGAATTATATAAATACAAAATAAAAACGAAACCATTGTACTCTGGTCAGTTAATTTAAATTGTATGTGTAACTTTTGTGAAATCTGAAATGTAACATAGGATTATATTATTTACCTTTTTATTGATTGTCCAAATAACACCTTCAGTACAAGGAGGAACAGTAAGTGAGCCCAGGTATCTAAAATACCTTTTACTGCGACTGTTAATTTTTCTAGGGTTGACCATTCCCAATGGACTCTCTATGTGCTGCTCGTCCATTATTGAAGATACATTTCTCATTATCTGCATGTGACACAGTTTCCAAATTAACACAATTTTTATACGAGACAATCTAATTTATTTAATGAAAATACATATTTATACAATGAAATACTATACTTTTATTTATTTTGGTAATAATTTATTTTGATTGTTACGTTAAAGTATGATATTTCAATTTAATAGTCTACACGTACATTGAAAAGTTGTAGTACCAAACGCCAAAATGTCAGATTAAATAAGGGGATCAATGATAATACTTAACCATGGGTAGATTAAGGTAGATCATATATTAACTGGTTAAAATGTGAATTTCGTAATCTAAAAGGACCAATGAATTTAATGATTGGTCACACTCATATAACAATAATATGTGATATTCTTTTCATTACCTTGGAGAGAAATTTGTCAGGCTTGCCAATCTTGTAAAGCATTCCAAGCACTGATATATTATTTTTCACTTGATGATCTGTGCTTACATGTACCAAGTGCAGCTCCATGTCATACCTGTGACAAAATTTCATTAATTTAATTCCTATTAATTCATACTATAATGTTATATATATTAATATTTCTCATTCTCAATTAATCACATCCCAAAAATCTCGAT